ATATTTCAATGGGTAAGTAACTAATTGCTGCCACACTGGATCTTAATGAAACTCATCCTCATTTCCTTTTAAAGGGTAGAAATGGTAAAGGTGCAATATATGTATGGTCTACAGGAAACGGAGGTCATCCGTTCCTTCCATTTGGATGCGCATATGAAGGTTTTGATAACAACCCCTATGTCATACCAGTTGCAGGTAATTTATTAGTACAATTATCTCAAACACATGTTTAATGATTATAACATTTATGTCGTGTTTAAGTTTGACATATTCATGTCTCTATAATAATGATGGACCAGCTCCTTTCCTCTTTTTTTTAAACACGCATTGCAATCTCCAAAAACTATGACAACTTCCTTTCTTTGTACAATTTTATTGATTGATTGATTGGTGTTTTCTTTACGCCGCCTCAGTAGAAAAAGGCTATATTGCACCAAGGGAGGTATAATTATATGTTTTCAGTCTATAATTTAATTAAATGTAAACTATCCAATTATAATTGAATTGAGCGGAAAGTAGAAACTATTTACAAGACGATGTCCTAAAAAACGCTTAAGCGTAAATTTTTCAAAAAGCTAGCTGATTTTATATCGAGTTGTTTATTTTAATGCATATTTCGATACGTTAAAGTCATATGATACTTCAAATTTAATAAAAGAAAAAGTTGAAATGTTTTATTTACTTGAATTACTAATTTTTGATATAAAAACCGTGTACATAGGCTTTCTTATAAAAGAAAGTCCTTTATTCTATCAAAATCTTCAGAAATTAAATTGTCTTCCCGTGATCTAATTCGCTTACAGCTTTTCCGTATGCAGTGACCTTAACTATGACACCTTTCGTTAGAACTTCGGCAATCGCACAGCGCAAGTGCGAGGGAAAAACCGCGATGAAAGAAAAGGTAAACAAACGTTGAGAGAAGATAGTATTAACCGACTCAGAAATAAAGAGAAATATATACACATCATTAGTAGACTCTTTATAGCAGTGATTGCCGTTAAATGACAATATTTTACCTTTTTTTTGTATTTTGGACAAAAACTAAAAAAAGATAGAGAGAAACTGTAAACAGAAAAAATGTATACACCGAATCATTTAACAACTGTTATGACAAAGTTTAAATAACAAATAGGTACGCATGGAAAACATGAAAGAAATGTATCCTCTCACTTATTTTGCACGTGTTCTATGATTGTGTGCTGATTGATTATCAAAAGTTAAGGATCGGCATTCCTCTACACTGGATGAAATTTTGTTGTCGATTATACTGTATGGATTCGTTATAAATGTAAAAAAAAGTGCGCAGAAGATTTAGTTTAATATATATGCATGCATAGGTTCAATAATTCTTCAACACAATAATTACCAGAAACTCGTTTAATATGACCTTAATTATCATTAATGATCATAAAAGCCTAATTCCAAATTTTAGTGAAAATTTGGGATCATAATGGGGTCACGCAATTGCCGAACCTTCGCCTTCCCGACACCAGCTGTTGAATACAATTTTGATTTTTTTAAATTCCCGATCCAAAATTATCCTTACATGCGTTTATTGTGTACTGTAAGATCCTAAATTTAGATTGCAATTGACATGCCTTTATGTACGCACTTAAATTGCATTATCTAATCTAAGTGTTATTTTATTGCTTATTTTTTTAAAATTTGTATTATATAACAGGAGTTCGATATAACTACCACAAACTTGCGACCGGCGATTCTTGTAGTTCAATCATGGTGGCAGCTTTTACAAGGGAATCGATCGATACCGACAAACTAATAGTAAGTTGTTAAAGTGAAATACCTAGTTGGACAAATAAAACTATAAAACATCGAAAAAATAGTATTCTAATCTATATAATTCGAGTTAATAAAATTATTCTTAAATGGAATTCTTAAAATGAAATATAAGTCTTGAGTGTTTCGCATATAGCTGGATAAAATTTAGGCAATAAAGTATCTTTTTTTTTTTTAAATTTGTTGCAGTGTAACATGTATGTGAAGTAAGCAGCCGGTTCGTTATTTGATATTCGATATTCAATATCCAACCTGCTGCTAGCAGTCGGTTCGATATTCAAATTTTCTAAGTTGAATATAATACAAAATTAAACATTCGATAACATTCAAAGCATGATAGTTATTAGTTAGTAGTTGTAAAAATTAAGAGATATAAGAAATCTTTTTAAGTTATCGTAAATTCTCGTTGTTCTCAAATATAAACCCTTATGTAAATCGAATATTTCTGTTTATGACCTTTAGATTTTTATCAATAGAATATAACCAAGAATGAACATTTAAAAGATGATCTTTCAAGAAACCTAAAGAAACGACCCCTTAAGATTTAAAAATATGAATAGAAAAAAGTATGGAAAGCAAAAAAAAAAAGATATTTTCGAATGACTAAATACTCAGCTATATCCACGAACGAGAGCCAAGGGGTTGGCTAGATCTTCCTGATCTCTCAATCTTCATAATATTATGCATATAGTTAGTTAATATATAGATATAAATGACATCAAAAGGAATTTGGGTAAACTTTTCGTCTTCTAAGATCATGAGGGCTCAAGGTGCCAGTTTGATATTCAAAATTTATAGTGAAAACCTACCGGAGACCGCTGAAAAAATAGTGAGATCCCTCTGGCCTTTCAATATCCACAAAATTGAATATTATTTTAGAATATGTATATATATACAGACGCTATTAAAAGGATTTCCCAGAAAAATGTCATCTTCGATATGTACGGAGGGCTTAAAGTGTCACTTTTTAAATAAAAATCGTCAAAAATTCAGGCGAAAGGGCACAGGTCGTTGGCTAGATCTTCTTGATCTCTCAATTCAGGTGAAAGGGCACAGGGCGTTGGCTAGATCTTCTTGATCTGTCAATCTTTATGATCTGTCAATCTTCATAATATTATACATATAGTTAGTTAATATGTGGATATAAATGACATCAAAAGGAAATTGGGTAAACTTTTCGTCTTCTAAGTTTATGGAGGGCTCAAAGTGCCAGTTTGATATTCAAAATTTATAGTGAAAACCTACCGGAGACCGCTGAAAAAACAGTGAGACCCTCCCTAGTCTTTCAATATCCACAAAATTTAATGCTATTGTAGACTTTGTATATATAGAGATGCTATTAAAAAGATTTCCCACAAAAATGTCATCTTCATTATGTACGGAAGGCTTAAAGTCACTTTTCAAATAAAAATACATAATCTAAAGGATCATTGATATTTATAGACATTGAAAGACCAGGGGGGTCTCACCGTCATTTAAGCGGTCTCCTGTAGGTTTTTACTATATATTTTGAATATCAAACTGGCACTTTGAGCCCTCCGTAAACATAGAAGACAAGAAGTTTATCCAAATACCTTTTAGTGTCATTTGTATATTGATATAATATATAATATATATAATATAATATTAACTAACTTTCTGCATAATATTATGGAGATGGAGAGATCAGGGAGGTCTAGCCATCGCTATATGCCCTTTTACCTTATATCGACGATTTTTAGCTGAAAAGTGACTATATCTTTTTTTTTTGGCTTTCAATAGTTATTTATATTAAGATTATTCAATAATACTAGAGTGATCGTTTATTTTTATTTTTCAAGAAATATCATGTATAAAAGTTCATCTTTGATTGCATTTTATTGGTAAAAATCTATATTTCATAAGACAAATGTGCGATTTACAACACAAAGGGACAACGAGACTTACGACAACTTGAAGGGTTCTTAAAACGATTTCATAAATAATTTTTTACTCCTTTTTACTATGACTATCACGCTTTTAATGTTATCGAATATATAAATTTCTATTATTTTCAACTAAGAAATTTGAATATCGAAAAATAAATAACGAACCGTCCTCTAACTTCACATCCATCAGTGTAACTAGTGTATAGTGATTAAGTAAAACAAGTGAAACACAAAGTCAAATAAAAGAATTTGTAGGCTATCGTAAAACATAAACATGTTTTCTTCGATATATATTCATATTTATTCTAATTTTCTATTTGAAACTAAGTAATTGCTGTTATAGCATGTTCACAGAAATGTTATGAAAAAATTTATTTGTTATGAGAATCGAAAGGAACCATTCAATTTGATTTGAATATCAAACTATATGCCAATAATGACAAGGATGTTTTTCGCGTATGGTAATTGTTTCTTCTTTATACCCTCTGTCCTCATCTTACGCTCTTGAAACAGAGTTATCAAGAAGGACGACATATTTGACACTTTTTTAATTTTATGGTCACCATCAAGAATTGATTGAACAATACGATATATGTATGTCTCACCTCATTAGCGACATGTTGTCGTGGTCTTAAATCTGTTGTTAGATTATCAGAAAAATAGTATTATCTGTAAATTAACTGATTGTTTTCCATTTCGATTGTTCAATTTCTACCTAGTGCGGATTCACATGGCGGTTGATTCATGTACAACAGGAGATGCTTACCTTTTCAACCTACGACCAGTCTCGCTTCTTTTGGTGTTTATGAGTTACCTTCGGTCTTTTTTCACTTCGATTTGTATCTTCTTAATGGATTTATGAGGTTTGAACATCTATGCATTATAGTTGCCTTTAATTTTAAGTATATCAAATATGCAATAATATCAAATATGCAAATATGCAATAGTATCGACACATAAACAGGAAAATGAATGACATTGTTTTCGTGTTAAGATCACGCATGCTAAACTGAACATGAATAAAAGATGTCAAAGCAACAGAAATTCAACAATATAACAAAATCAACACGCACCAGAGGTCAACCTATGGTTTTCTATAACAGCCGGGTGTCAACATAATATGTTAAGCTCTACATCGACCAGAGACCTCAAATAATATAAATGAAAATAAATAAAACCATCAACTATCTGCTATCAACACCAAATTGAACAATAGACAAACGATATGAAGATATAAGAAACGAACAAAACTAAAATACGTTTTACAGGAAACAAGTGATAACATTAATGGTTGTACTGGACAATTTGGGAGAAATTCTGCTGCCGTTCCAATGGTGTCTGGAGCTATTGCTTTAGTATTGCAAGCTAAGTATGTCATTATATTTAGCAAAAATCAAGATGCACATATTCATTTTGGAATGTATGTGCATTAAGTGTCAAGTTCCAGCTACCATCAGAAATGAATGGAAAATACTTTTATCTGTCCATAAAACAAAGGGTTGGCAAAAGTTTATGAAGGTACACTTATTCTCCTAGGAATTTCTCGGAATTTCTTAGTTATCTAGTTGAAATTAAAGGCTTCCTGGACGTTGTCCGTTTGAAAACATATTGTTTTTGTCTCCATTTCATTAAAAGAAAATTACCAGATTGTTTGACCAGTTATGCAATTGAGTTAAATCATTTGAAACATGTTCTTGTATTAAATCTAGATTTCTACTAGAATATAAAAAGAAGGCATTATCCGCAAATAATCTGCAGAGCAATGTTGAATTAGCGCTTATATGAATTGTATACACACAAAACAATAGGGGTCCCAAAAATGAACCTTGGAGAACCCCTGCAGACACTTTATATCCTCTGAAGATTGTAGTGTTTATGGTTCTTAGATTAAACCAGTTTCATTCTTACTGAAAGTTTAGGTCAATTATATGTGGTCTTATAGAATAAATTTATTCATATATTTATTAGGAAATGCACATTTATATTCCTAGGGGTTGAAGGCAACCAATACAACAATATACACAATGCAATCATTATAAAATATCAAAACATCATATACCAATCAGTAAAAAAAAAAAACTAGTAATTTAAAAGTAAGGTGTAGATGTGTTTGAAGGTAAAACAACCAATTAAGGAAATTTAAAGTACTCAACGAAATCAATAAATAATATGACCGGTTATAGTTACACGCTGAACGTGAAGAACCTTTTTTGGAAAATATTCTTCCTATGTTATAAAAGTGCAGTATTTTTGTAAGACCTACTGAAAAAGAATAGTGAATGGAAACGGGATATGTGTCAAATAGACCACAACCAAACAAAAGTGCAGAAAACAGCACAAGGCCATGTATGGGTCTTCAATGCAATTCAATAAAAATCCCGAACCCGGAGGCGTGCTATAGTTGGCCCCTAAACAATAATGTATAATAGTTCAGCAAAATTGACGCCACACTAAACTCCGAAACATACAAATGAACCAAAATTTAAAGAAACATACAATCTTCTCATTTGCTTGATATAATTATATAATGGAAGATCAAAGTTTCACATATTCTCGACAAATTAAATTCGCGTTATTTTTTTAATTTGCGAAAGTCACGAAAATAAATCGTCAGCAAAAATTAGTTGGTTAACAGTATAGGAAAAGTGGTGCGTTATTTGTGTTGTTGAGTTTACGTATAGTTCAAATTTAATGCCTGCATGCGGAAATACAATATCTGAATACAATTATTGTACTAAAAAGAATGTTTCTTCATATTTAGTCTCTTCATCTACAAGTGTGTAACGTTCCCTGAATTTAAGTAACCAAAGTAAATGACTGTTAGTCTATGAGGATTTCACTATCCTAGTAGATTGAAACTTCTTTACTGGCATAAAAATATGAATTTTGATTTATCGTTAACTATTATAAATCTTAGAAAACCATTTTGAATAAAGGAATGTACATCTATCACGTAAAGCTCCGGGTTTTGGCTATATTTTTAAGTTCGGTTATATAAGCTCTTCAAAGTTTGTCTTAAGTTTTGAATTTTCAAAAAGTATTTTCCTCGATCATCACTGAAGGGGCACTTATTGTCGATATCCGTATCTTGTACAGTAAATTTTGTACCGTTTATTATGTGAAATAGTAGTAAGAATTGAAAGAATCAAAATTTACTCTTTGTGAATTCTTTTTTAGTCCAAATCTCAGCTATAGAGATGTTATGCACTTATTGGTGCTGTCTTCAAACCCAAATCTGCCATTCAACCCAAATGATTTTAAAGAAAATGCAGTCGGTAAAAAAGGTATATTTTCATTATATAATAATATTATACAAACACAGATTTGAGTTTTGTTCTAAATTCTTTGGACCAGACTCATAGTTAAGCTGCATTCGGGCTAACCTTGCCAAGGCAAATTTTTGAATAAGGCATATTCATGTTGGTTTCTTTGTGGATTCTCATTTTTAAATTGTCTTTAGACCTAAATGTACCTTTCAGGTAATGCTTTCGATATGTACTTCTATGGACCAATGAAGGAATTGAAGTATTCTATTTTAGAAGCCCTATTGTTTTAAAATTTTAAAGGAAAATGACTTACATAAATCTCTTACCCGCATATGTGACATTTCCCTGGCGGACTGTACTGCAAATATGTAAGTGTCATTAATATAGAATTATTAATTTGCATAAGTATACATACGACGTGGTTATATTGGAAAAAAATAAGGTTAGAAGCACTATTTAATCATTTTATATGAGAACTCTCAAAAGCAGTAAAATAATTGAGAAAGGGATCTCTTTTGAAAAATAAAAGGGTATTGAATTTCATTTCACTTAACATATCTATGTCTTTAGTAAACCCTTAAATATATAAACCTTTTGCACATCGGTATGTCTTTCTGTAACTATTTATCGGAATTTGTTCATTTTTCCTTTGGTGATACTGGCTTATATTTGTTAAGATCACTGACAGGACGTGATACTCGATAAATATTAGGCAATGAATGACGTTACGTAACATAACAGAAACATCAGGTTTTGTATGTACATATAGTCTTGTTGATAAACTAAGTTTAAAAACAAAATGCCCTCATTGTAAAAATATCTATCCTATCTTGACTTAGTCGATTGTGTGTGAATTCGTATAGCAGGTGATGCATGCATGGTAGGAAACACCCTGTCGCGCTCAATTTGGTGTTCATGCGATTCTCTCAGTTTTTGTTTGTTAACTTGATATGCTCATCGGTAAAATACTGTCGCCTTAATTTATAAATTATAAATTGATTCGTCTAGTTTCCAGAGTTTAGTAAGGCACTATAATAGGGAAAATGTTGTATAAATCAATACATGACAGTACTCTAATGTTTTTGAAATACAATTTCAGTGTCAAAAACATTTGGATTTGGGCTTTTAGATATTGGTAAGCTTGTAGATATTGCTGAAACGTGGCAAAATATAAATGAACTAACGGTATGCAGTTTCAGGTCCAATATTTCCTGCAGGTAAATGGATAAGTACATTAAGAATATTTCAACCGATTTCTCGCAACTATAATAATAAAATCATTTACCATATTATCAATAAACTCATCGTAGATACTAGAATTAAAATTGTGTACGCAAAACGCGCGTTTCGTCTACAAAAGACTCATCATTGGACGCTCGAATCCAAAAAATTTAAAAAAGCCAAATAAATTGACAAGGCAATCCAGGACAAATACAAAACTTGTTTTTAAATAGTAGCCGAAGAATGAATTTACACCGCCAGATTCCCAAAATCTTTTTGAACTTTAAGTTTCCTTTGTTAGATAAATCAACTGATTCAAGTATGAAGATACGTTAACAGTCATATTTATACAAGCTACAGCTTGTTTGAATCGTATCATTGTTTTTGATATACATATAATCTGCTATGATTGCAAATGAGACAACTATCAAGCAAATACCAAATGACAAGATGTGGCTAACAACAGGTTACTGTGTTGTCTTCAACAATCAACAAAACCCATTCCGTTAGCTAAAAAATGCTCGAAGGTGATGAAAAATAAAACAGAATTTAACGAATTACATGTACATCAAATTACACACATTTCTTAAAAATTAACAAATACACAACATCATTAATCCACAAAATATCAGACGAATAAAATGCTTTTATGATCCGAATAACAGCTATTATTTTCTATAATTTTATAATGGTTTGGAAGAATATTTATTGAAAATAACCTTTTTGTTAACTATACTTTTAGTGATTGATATCTATATATATATATATTTCATTATTTATTGATAGCCTATCGTCGAATCGTACGGAGAATGTCACCTTTGAAATTTGTAAGATTAATTCGTTAGAACATGTACAGGTGTATTTCAAAGTAGAGTCTCCAAGATCAGGACAACTGACACTAGATCTTTTGTCTCCAAGTGGTACAATATCAAATATAATACCTGGAAGATTTTTAGACCTCAACAGATTGAACCTGAATATGACTGTTATAACTGTTCATTTTTGGGGAGAATCATCTGTTGGAAAATGGACTTTAATGACTGGGGACATAAGTGGAAATGATTTAATGCTTTCCAACGGTGTGTATGAATTGATATTAATATCCATTGGTTGAGATTTTTTTTATATAATATCTATTTGTCATAGTATTCCAGTCAGCCTACGAAATTGTTATAGCTAGACTCCTATTCATTTTCTAATGGCCAACACCTTAATGTAAAAATGTTTTCTTTGTTTAAGCAGTTTTGAAAATAAACATTACTCTGACTCGACATATTTGCATCAGACACTTAAAAATTCCTTTTAACGAAAGAGGCGTGATCAAAATTGAAACACGCTGTATAAAAGCAATTACTAATACAGATGATGAAGATAAAACATGTGGTAACAAATATTGGAATAAGGTTTTGCTGTGTTTATTTGAATTTGTTTAAGCAAAAAAAATAATAATAAACAAACGAACAAATCTCTAAATGATTAAAAAAGAAAGAATGATTCCTAATAGGACAATGGATAATGAAAGCTCACACGATTACTGACTGAAATTTTAAGACAGATATATTCTATGATTTTTGGACAGCCACATTAGCTTACAATATATGAAAGTTTTTTATGCTGCTGCCTCAGGTCCTATCACCACGACTACTAAGAACAATGGCAGGACTGGCATAGTTGAACTAATATTTTCTTTTCCTTTTTTGTTATATAGCTCTTAACGTGTTTCGGTACTTACCTATCCTTAGCTCTCAAATTGTGGGCTTTGGGCGTTTCAAATGAAGGTAAATCCAGATAGAAAAGCGCTTCGGACGCATAGCATTTATCAAGTATTATTGTCAGCTACTAGCACTGGGTTGATACTACTTCTTGTGTGACTACTAATTGTTCAATTTTTTAACTGATTGTTATAGTTTGTATGTATATGTATGTGGTACTGTCCCTGGTTAGGGGGAAGGTATTGCGCCAGCAAACATGTGTAACCCCGCCACATTCTGTATATGCCTGTCCCAAGTCAGGAGCCTGTAATAGATCAGTGGTTGTTGTTTGTTGCTTTTTATCGTATTTGTTTTGTTAATTGTTTTGTAGATTAACGAGGCCGTTAGTTTTTTCGTTTGAATTGTCATTTCGGGGCTTTTTATAGCTGACTATGTTGTATGGGTTTTGCTCGTTGTTGAAGGTCTTACTGTGACCTATAGTTGTTACCTTTTACGTCATTTGGTCTCTGGTAGAGGGTTGTCTTATTAGCAATCATACCACATCTTTCAGGTTCTTATACCTGGTAGATTATAATGCTGGGGGACTATTAGTATTCGAAAGTATCATCAGCTCAGTAGTCAGTGTTTTGATGGTAATACGATTTATGTAATACCTTTCTTAAAGTTTCCTTTGCTTAATTTAGAACTTATTAAGAAACTAAAGTTCCAACTGCGTCATGCAAAGTTGACCAGGTGGATTTTGCAATTATTTTTAGGTATCTTTTGGTTATACAACTCTAAACGTGTTTCGGTACCTTGGTTTTCCATTTGTTTTGCTTTAAAGAAAGGAAAACAACACTTTATAAATTTCTTGCGTCCGAAGTGACCACAGCAATTTTCTGGAATTACCTGCATCAGGAACGCCCAAAGCGAAATATTTGAAAGCCAAGGATGTATAAGAACCAAAACAATTGAAGAGCTATATGACAAAAAAAAATAGTAGCCAAATTCAGCTAAGGTCGATTTTGCCTTAGGGAGTTGAAACTTTAGTTTTCTTAATAATTTGAAAGTTCCTGATGAGATAATTCCAGAAAAACGGTGTTGTCACATACAGTTTATCTAGTGTAAAATTCAGTTCCTAAGTATTATATATCCATGGCTTTAAATGGTAAGGTTTCTGAGTTTTTGTTGAATGTAAATCCAGAAAAAAACTTCGGACGCATGACATATTTAAGTTGTTCCTTCCATTTTCTTGTACTTTGTCAATACCACTGATGGTGAACTGTTAGTCCCGTAGGGTATTATCAGTTAATTAATATAATGATAATGACATGATGCATAACATATATTATATATTTCCCCGTTTATGAATCAGAAAATTATTAAGAACGTAAGTTTCAACTCCCCCAAGCAAAGTCAGATAAATTTGGCTATTCTATTTGGGTCAAGTTCTGTCATATAGCTCCCCATGTTTCCAAATATTTATAAATCTCTTGGTTTCATACGTTTAAAGCGTTTTTAATGAGGGTAAATTGAGAAAACCTCTTGAAACTGCATGGCTGTGAGATTGGTTTTTTTTACATATTCTATTGGTTACGAAGTTGTCTGTCTTTTTTCAACCTCTGATTTAATCGTATATTTTATGTCAAGTAATTCACCTTTCATTGCGATCGAATTTCAAATATTTTTAATCGATGTTCTATTAATCTTTCTAGTCTTTTTTGTTCATAGACCTCCCATAAAGAGATTATAGATATTGGGTATTCAAAAAGTACCAAACTATTGTATACAAAATTTTCTGTTCAGGGATACTAAGCTAATTATTAAGTATGTTATTGCTTTATAGATATTTAGAAGTAATCAAGTTATACTTTAATATATTATATTTTAGGAACAACGTTAGAATGGGGTTTGACATTTTATGGAACAAAAGATGCTTCTCCGTCATCCCCAATTACGTCAGCATCCTCTACTAAATTATCATCCGCACATTCGTCGATTATTTCGCCTTCAGTGTTTTCCCTTCTTCCTTCATCTTTTAGACCGACGATTGGACACACGTCTGAACAAGGTGAGTCCTATTCAGTATATCCTTTCATCAATATTCTAATATCACTGTCTACGGTAACATTGTAGAGTTATACAGACAACATATTTATAGGACATTCTAGAAAATATGCTGACCTATAGGTGTAAAGCCATAAAGTTATATTTTTTCTAAACTTGTGTGTTCGATACTCTGATTAAAAGTATAAAGTTCAATCTGTAATGCAATACTAAATAAAAGTATGAAATTCCTGTGTACATTTTGCTGCAATTGTTCTTGTTTCATTGGAACCTAATTCGAATATTCATTTACTTATACCAGAGATTGAAACAAAATCTGAATTTAATTGTCTAGGTATTCAGAGGCTTTAAAAGGAGCCAATGTGTATATAAAGAAAATGATTCGACTGTGATTTGATTAATAAAGAAAACAATTTGGGATGTGGATTAGTGGTTTTATTCCTATTGTTTATTTATCTTATTCAGTATGTAAATCTTTTGATATACTTTGATTTAGCTGGCATCTAACTTTTGTTATGGTTGGTTGAAATGGATTCCTAAGTCCATTTCAAATTAACATAGAACTTTGCTATGTCGAAAGAACTATATTAGATATCTTACCTAATTTTAGTTTCTTACGTCAACAATTAAACGAAAAACGATACTCTCTGTTGTATGAAATTATATTTGTTGACTTCAAGTCGTGTTATTGTTAAAGCATAATTAAATGGATTTTGGTGTCAGTTTCTTTAACTGACATTCAAATTACGTTTGAAATTATGTACAGAAATATCAATGTTTTTGTTTTTGTAGATTTGTCATCCGTTGGAGATTGTGAAGAAATGCCATTACATGATCCTCCTGAAGAAACACATGTTGAAATAATAGTTCCAGTCGTATCAATTGTAGTAGCAGTTATTTTCACAGGGTGTTTAATTATTTTGATATTCCGACGAAAACAGATTTACAGTATGGCTAGTGTATGTATATCATAGTGTGTTAATTGCAAATATATACTGGCGTGCCTAACGTTGATATTAATATTTTTTTTGAAATTTCAATTGAATTATTTTGTGTAATCAATTCGGAAAAATATTGAAGACTATCGTTTTTTGGAAAAGCAGATAAAAATTCCTTGTTTTTGAGATATAAGCCAATGAAAATTTTGTGGAAAATAATACTATCTAGATTTTTCATACATTTAACATTGACACTTTTGTCTTCAAAAAACCATAAAAAAAATAACACGGATTTTATAAGATTTTCAAAATGGCTGTTTCAAAAAAAAGAAAACAACACGTTATAAATTTCATACAACCAACGCGCTATGTAAGAAAATTCGGGCTTTGCGGGCAAACATTTTGGAGGCACTACAAGAATAAAATCAGTGGATTTTGTATACCAGCAAACCACCTTAAATAGATAAAAGAAGATGTGGTATGAGTGCCAATGAGACAACTCTCCATCCAAGTCAAAATTTATAAAAGTAAACCATTATAGGTCAAATAAAATTGAGAATGGAAATGGGGAATGTGTCAAAGAGACAACGACCCGACCATAGAGCAGACAACAGCCGAAGGCCACCAATGGGTCTTCAATGCAACGAGAAACTCCCGCACCCGGAGGCGTCCTTCAGCTGGCCCCTAAACAATGTGTATACTAGTTCAGTGATAATGGACGTCATACTAAACTCCAAAATATACACAGGAAATTAAAATTAAAAATGATAAAAGACTAACAAAGGCCAGAGGCTCCTGACTTGGGACAGGCGCAAAAATGCGGCGGGGTTAAACATGTTTTTTGAGATCTCAACCCTCCCCCTATAGTACGGTCTTCAACACGGAGCCTTGGCTCACACTGAACAGCAAGCTATAAAGGGCCCCAAAAATGACTAGTGTAAAACCATTCAAACAGGAAAACCAACGGTCTAATCTATATAAAAAACGAGAAACGAGAAACACTTATGAACCACATCAACAAACGACAACAACTGAACAACAGATTCCTGACTTAGGACAGGTGCAAACAATTGCAGCGGGTTTAAACGTTTAAATGGTACCAAACCTTCACGCTTATCTGAAACAATAGTGTAACATCACAACATAGAAAGACACACTATAAAATATCAATTGAAATGGCTTAACTCAATCAAAAGACATATTAACACCAGTGAACATACACTGAACAAATAAATTTGATCTATGATACAATGTAAATACAAAATAAATAAACTAAGGGAAGAACGATTAAAGTAACATGTTATACCGCTGTGAAATGTTAAATAATTTAAGAAAAACAATATGCTTGAACAATAATTTCAGCCATTTGCAATTACTATAAACACAGGTAAATGAAAATAATTTTGTTGTTATACGTTGTAGGTATACGTGTACAGTTCAAATAGAGAAAGGAAATATTTTTACAGAATAAATAATTTTGATGTTCATACTATTTTTACAAGGTTTTAACAACATTTTTGCGCATTTTGAAATACACCTTTTTTTTTAAATTAAGTCTTTTAAAGTATATTATCTATATTCCGATACATCAAACGTCCGTTGGTTTCTACAAATTCCGATTTTGATACTCTAGGCGAAACATGTACAGGAAAAATATGACCATGTGTGTACTTTTGTTCGTAATGCTATTTTAATAAATAACATCATATCAACTTTATATATTGCAGAACAAATCATGTAACAAGAAAATTGATGCAGTTAAAAACAAAGAAGAACCCTGTGAATTCATATCAACAAATGGGTCAAGATCAACATGTGTATGATATGCAAATGATTTTGTAAAAATACAAATGACATATAGTACTCAACAATGCAAATTTAACCTATATTGTATTGTTTCAGTGTTGATATCTAACTTTAAGCATACGATGTGCTTTTCTTAATTTTTCTTAAGTCATTGTAATAAATATCATTTTCATTCAGATACTCTTTAAAAATTCGGTATTATAATTGATCTGGTGGGAACAACACGAAGTAATAACAAACTTCAAACAAAGCTTGAGTAAACTTCGATGAACCCTTTTAAAACACTTGGTGTTAATATATATTTTATTCAAGCTATTTCCAAACTTCACAACTGTTCATTGTCTTGTGATTTTTCTGACAAAAATACCTTCTTACATGTATAAAAAACACAATGTCATATAATGGAGAAACTTGACATTATGCTATGTGTTTTCATCTGACACGTTCTGCTTCATGAAAACTTCATCAGAATTGAAATATCGCAGCATACAAAAGTAAAAATACAAGCAGTTGATTACATTCAAGCTTTTAATCTGGCATAATCCTAAACGGTACTTATCAGAAATTTTAGATCATTGTTTCAGTAAATGAATGTCGAATATTAAAACGTTCAACATGTTCAAGTAATCGTTTTATCATTTTTAAAACCTTGGAGTAAGAAATAAGAACTCCACATAAATATTGTACTACCTAGTAATATATAGGATTATTCATTTTTATGGTAAATGTTCATTTCCTCAATTTTGCTTTTATGATGGTAATTTAAAAAAAAAAATAACAATTCCTGCAAAGGTAACATATACAACCATCACACATAGATACGCTTCATAGAAGAGAAACATTAACCCCGGTACTGGTTGGATTTTTCAGTTTGAATCTAGTTCTGAAGTGTTTTATAAACGTTCTTTTTAGTTAGGCATGGTCTTGTCTGATTCTTTTTAAATATACATGATGTAATTTAAATTGCTCCCTGGGGTCTTTTATTTTTCGAATTGAAATGAACAAGACTAAAGAAGAAAGCAAAGGTGCAATAAAACAACCAAGTCAAAAACAGTATTTTCAAAACCAGAAATACGAAAAGACGAGCAACAGTCAAAATACACTACACCTAAAAACTGAAGATTAAGTAACACGTACTTCACTAAGTACCTTGGTTGAACTCATATGCTGCAAAAGGGCTAGCAATTCCGACTCATTTGTGACACCCGTGGAGCTACTCAATTAAATATGGTAAGGTTTCATGCATGTACCTTATTGATTTTGCTGAGGTGATTTCATACATCCAAAGGAATTGTCGAATTTGTTAACAATCGTTCAAAACGAAAGCGAAAATAGAAAAATAAAAATTTGTTGAAGACAATGGAAAGCCACAACAAACGTAAACCATACAGTTATCACAAAAATGACTGTACAAAGTCTAAAATATGAGTTGTTTTCCATTTGTTCCGTTGGTTGATATAGCCGAGCGTTTTAGTTTATCAGGTTTTATGGACTGTCCCTTTTTGAATTTAGCTTGGCATTCGGTATTTTTATTTATAGTTTGTTCAATCTTACCACTAAAGACATTCGATTCGATAAGGTAAGATTTAAGTACAACCCAATATCAGGAAAATCATGAAAGTAAATGCAATCTTTGAAACCAGTTCAACTGGGAGATACATACTCTTAATACAAGACTTTAGTGCATATACAATTGGTTTGTTCTGAACATGCTTACAATGTTAATTTCTAGATGTACGACAATATATGAAGCTTACCTAAATGTATCATCGGTATACTCAGTATACTTTATGATGATAGCTATGATTAGTTTTGTACTGTTTAAGTAAAGGGGTCTGTATTCGGATGATGAAAACACATTTGCGAATGTGTCTGAATTAAAAAAAAAACGTTTCTTTAACTGATTTTATGCATTGGTATTCTCTATTAATGTATCTTAGTCTAACAACCCCAGGAACAGATTACATGAGCTGTATTTGGCAAAGCCTTTCGGAATTTTGGGTCTTCAATGCTCTTCAACTTCGTGCTTTATTTGGCCTTTTAAACACTTTTTTTCGAGCGTCACTGATGAGTCTGTTGTAGACGAAACGCTCGTCTGACGTATTAAATTTTAATCCTTGTATCTATGGCGAGTTTATTTACTCTACTTGTAATATTGCTGACCATTGGAGTCTACTTTAAAGTTGAGCTACCTGTATTACAGTGTAGGACGACATGATTTCTCATCTGCATGTTATGGAACTTTGAGCTTGCTTTCAATATTTCAAAATGTTTTGCTTTTTCGACTTGTGCTTGTGGATTATCTTAATTTGTTTGTAATTATTTTACTGTTATTATAATAGAGTTCAGTGCTTTTAGATTTTAACTTTGTCCTTTCATTTAATAATTCAAAGTTTGGTGACCATGTTGAACGCATTGTGTCTTTTCATGTTTTTTTCCATGTTTTTGTTGGCCACGGTGTTGTAGAGGTATGGTTTTTAATTGGCTCCTTGGTAACCTTTTCCTTTTATGCCAAAACAAAGGGTAATTTTGATTTCATTATGTTATAAATATGCTCTGTGGTGTTGACAACCAATCAACATTCTCATAGAAACCAACTGTGCTCCTCTTGTTGTCGCCTTACTCTTTTATTCATATGACGTAGATCTCATACACGAGATGCTATAAAAGAATGAAAAGAAGCTAGCATTATTCTTTAACTTCTCGTTCGCTATTTAGATGATGTTTTCTCACTGAATAATTTAAAGTATGGTGACTATGTTGAACTTATCTTTCCCATCAAACTTGAAATAAATGATACAGCAGATACAGCCTATATTATATCTTGAAATACATCTAGACATATACAATGAGGTTCGGGCAAGAACAAACCTTTACGATATAATAGATAATCCCTATTGTGAACTTTAAATTTCTTTGTAGCAACATTCCAGCAGCGCCTGCATATTGAGTATGTATCTCCCCGCTGATAAGATATTCCCGACTCTGCATTTCCTATCATGATTTACTTGCTTACAAGGAATCTATTGAACCAAGATGTCCAAATGGTGCAGTTGATGTCATCCATTCGAACATTTTACGGACGCAATAACAAATTGATTGAATTTTATGAAATACCTATTTCACAGATGACGGCGGATATACCTTTATACCTTTATATCTTTATACCTTTATCTTCGGGTCCTTAAAATAAGCCAAAGGCTTCTACTGACCCCTCATCTTGGATTGTCGTAATGCAATTTCTCCTCTCATAATAAACGCATAATAATATATTTATATATATTATACTTATAAAAATAGAACTTATTTAGGTGTGCAATTAACAATTAACAATTAACATGAACATATAAATTTATATGGGTTCCAATTCTCGCCATTTAACGCTGACTTAAATTTATTCAAAGTCTTTGCCGTCACTGTTAAATCTGACAGGTTATTCCACTGATCCAATACTCGAATTGAAAAAGTAGTTATTCTATGTGTCGTCTTACACTGTTTCTTAAAGAGTTTTAATGAGCGACCTCTAGTATTATTAGATGATGCTAAAGTAAATAAGCTCATCCAGTTTATATCATCTATACCATGCAACGCTTTATATACTTGTATCATATCATTTCTATCCCTACGATATTCCAAGGTTGGCAATCCCAATGAGCGTAATCTATCTTTATAACTTAAATGATTTATATTCTTTACGAGTTCAGTGGCCCTTCTTTGGACAGATTCCAATTTACGAATATCTTTTTTAAGGTGCGGAGACCAAACATATGTAGCATATTCCAACAGTGGACGAACAATTGACTTATAAAGAGTAAGAAACATATCCTGATCCATGTAGTCAAAGGAATGATGAATAAGAGATAAAACTCTCTGTGCTTTATTAACAATAGTACTAATATGTTTTTCAAACTTTAAATTTGACTCGAAAGTTACTCCAAGATCCTTTTCTTCATTCACCTTGTAGATAACGCAATAACATTTTCTGTATCATCCAACATGGTATAACGATATAGTTGACCATTGTCAGGATTAATATGTGATACTTTACATTTAGCAGCATTAAATTTCAATTTCCACGTATTTGACCATTCACATAAACTGTCCAAATTTTCCTGTAACTTACAGCGCTCATTATCTGTTGAGACTTAAGAATATACTTTACAATCATCGGCAAAAATTTTCACTATGCCCTCTACTACATCAGGAAGGTCATTTATAAATGTAAAAAAAAGAACTGGTCCTAGAACACTCCCCTGAGGTACACCACTCACAACATATGACCATGCTGAAGTTGTATTATTTATACGACCACATTGCTTACGCCTGGATAGAAAACTTTTTATCCAATCCAAAATGCATCCCTTTATTCCAAGTTTTTCAAGTTTTAAAAAATAAGCGCTAATGAGGCACAGTATCAAATGCCTTGGAAAAATTAAGGTAAATTGAGTCCAGTGGAAAACCATTATCAATTAATTCTGACCACTCATCCAAAACCTCCAGGAGTTGAGTAACACATGATCTACCTTGTCGGAAGCCATATTGACTACTTGTAAAAAGATTGTTCATGAGAATATACTTCATAATATTGTCTCTAATAATGGATTCACAGATCTTACACACTACGGATGTTAAACTAACAGGTCTGTAATTACCAGGGCTCAGCTTATTCCCTTTCTTAAATATTGGTGACACTATGGCGTTTTTCCAATCATCTGGAACTTTACCCTTTTTGATAGACTTATCAAAAATTTTAAACAAGGGATAACAAATTGCATGTCTTACTTCATATAAAACTTTCGGATGTAGACCATCAGGTCCTGCAGATTTATCTGTCCTTAATTTATTAAGTTTCTTTAGCACATCTTCCTGACGAATATTAATATCATCCAAAAAATTGTTTGACTCTGAATTAGTATCATAATCTTTCAAGTCATCTGTATGAGTAAACACACTAGTAAAAAACTGATTTAAAACTTCAACTTTATCAGCAGTACTGGATGCTAAAGTACCATCCGGTTTCTCAAGAGTGCCTATTACTGATCTAGTCTTGAGTTTACTGTTAACATAATTCCAAAACGACTTAACATTAATCTTTGATTCTAAGGCCACTTTTCGCTCAAAACTAAGTTTAGCATTTCTAACAGCATTTGTACATTTGTTACGATCCTTCACATATTTTGCATATGACAAGTTACTTCTTGAATATTTATATTTTTTCCATGATTTACGTTTCTTGACAATTGCAGATTTAGTAGCTCTATCCATCCACAACGGTGGGCTTATAAATTTACGGTCAGTCTTTTTCTTAGGAATAAATCTATCAATATTTTCTGACATAACAGAAGAGAAACTTTTCCACATTTCATCAACGTTTTTATTACTTAGCAAAACATCTCAGTCAATGTTGTTTAGACTCTTATTAAAAAGCTCATAATTTCCTCATGATATGTTCCAATTGTTGTAACCTCAATCCCTTACTCATTTATTCCAATGTGAACTACTTGTAACCAGGATTGTACTTACTTAAGCGTCATGACTGGTGCCAAATATAGAGACTCATCCACTTACTATCAGAACAAATGAGATCCCCTGATTTTTGATGGACTTCGTGTTGCTCAGTCTT